TGTTAAGAGAACAATCTGTTACTTGTTAAATGTTGTCTCCAACCTCAACACACCTTTGCCTTATTTTCCTACAAAGTAAAAAGGTAGCCCTGACGATCCTTACACCTACAGTTATAGTGGAAGTAGTAATTACTATTATACTAACTATTCTATGAGAGTCAATATCTATCAACTCAGTTCGGATTTAGTTCTATTAAGGAGTGTAATAATGGCGTCTATGTCATCAAACAACTCCAGGAAATTGTCTACCTCTTTAATAGAAACTTTTATCCCTGTGATGTTGATCTCACAGCAGCATATAACCATATCAACAGAAACATCTTTTTCTTATCCATCAGACATTGTCTTCCAAGTGTTGAATCCGCTGAATGTCTTGAGCTTATAGAGGAACCGTATTACAATGTAATATATGTCTGATAAAGACTGAAACCGTTCAAATTTCATCAGGAGTGCAACAAGGAGAAAACGAGAGGCCCAGTTTGTTTCATATCTTCTTATTCTTTGCGTTGAGCGTGTGCAAGTACAGCTGTGAAGAAATGGACCTTAACCATTCAAACATGCCCTATCACAGCCCAAACCAATCTACAAACTGAAAACAGCGTTCCCTCCGGTGTACCGATGATGTGGGTGGTCGAGGTGGGTATGTTGATAACATAGGTATTTATATTCAAAATGATTTTAAAAACAAATCAACGTTTTTTTTTATCAAGTGTTACAAGAAATAGGACTGAAGATAAACCTTTACCCAAATCGAAACTATGAAATTGGTATGACAGCAGCCTGAATACATTATGAAAAAAATCAAGATGTGGAATTATTAAATACTGAAGATAAATACTGAATGAGTGTGGAATTATTAAATACTGAACGAAAATACTGAATGAGGATGTGGAATTATTAAATACTGAAAAAAATACTGAACAAAAATACTGAATGAGTGTGGAATTCTTAAATACTGAACAAAAATACTGAATGAGGATGCAGAATTATTAAATACTGAACATAAATACTGAATGAAGATGTGGAATTCTTAAATACTGAACAAAAATACTGAATGAGGATGCAGAATTATTAAATACTGAACATAAATACTGAATGAGGATGTGGAATTATTAAATACTGAACAAAAATACTGAATGAGTGTGGAATTATTAAATACTGAACAAAAATACTGAATGAGGATGCAGAATTATTAAATACTGAACATAAATACTGAATGAACAAAAAAAAGGATGTGGAATTATTAAATACTGAAGAAAAATACTGGAATTATTAAATACTGAACAAAAATACTGAATGAGGATGCAGAATTATTAAATACTTAAAACTGAATGAGATGTGGAATTATTAAATACTGAACAAAAATACTGAATGAGGATGCAGAATTATTAAATACTGAAAGTGTGGAAAAAATACTGAATGAGGATGCAGAATTATTAAATACTGAACATAAATACTGAATGAGTGTGGAATTATTAAAATGAACAAAAATACTGAATGAGGATGCAGAATTATTAAATACTGAACATAAATACTGAATGAGTGTGGAATTATTAAATACTGAACAAAAAATACTGAATGAGGATGCAGAATTATTAAATACTGAACATAAATACTGAATGACTGGATGTGGAATTATTAAATACTGAACAAAATACTGAATGAGTGTGGAATTATTAAATACTGAACAAAATACTGAATGAGGATGCAGAATTATTAAATACTGAACATAAATAAATAGTGTGGAATTATTAAATACTGAACAAAAATACTGAATGAGGATGCAGAATTATTAAATACTGAACATAAATACTGAATGAGTGTGGAATTAAATACTAAATACAGAATTATTAAATACTGAACATAAATACTGAATGAGTGTGGAATTAAAATACTGAACAAAAAATGAGGATGCAGAAATTAAATACTAAATACTGAACATTAAATACTGAACAAAAAATGAATGAGGATGCAGAATTATTAAATACTGAACAAAAATACTGAATGAGTGTGGAATTATTAAAATGAACAAAAAATAGAATGAGGATGCATTAAATTATTAAATACTGAACATAAATACTGAATGAGTGAATGGAATTATTAAATACTGAACAAAAATACTGAATGAGGATGCAGAATTATTAAATACTGAACATAAATACTGAATGAGTGTGGAATTATTAAATACTGAACAAAAATACTGAATGAGGATGCAGAATTATTAAATACTGAACATAAATACTGAATGAGTGTGGAATTATTAAATACTGAACAAAAATACTGAATGAGGATGCAGAATTATTAAATACTGAACATAAATACTGAATGAGGATGTGGAATTATTAAATACTGAACAAAAATTATTAAATACTGAACAAAAATACTGAATGAGGATGCAGAATTATTAAATACTGAACATAAATACTGAATGAGGATGTGGAATTATTAAAACTGAACAAAAATACTGAATGAGGTGGAATTATTAAATACTGAACAAAAATAAAAATACTGAATGAGGATGTGGAATTATTAAATACTGAACAAAAATACTGAATGAGGATGCAGAATTATTAAATACTGAACATAAAACTGAATGAGTGTGGAATTATTAAAATGAGGAATGAGGGAATTATTAAATACTGAACAAAAATACTGAATGAGATGCAGAATTATTAAATACTGAACAAAAATACTGAATGAAGGATGGAATTATTAAATACTGAACAAAAATACTGAATGAGGATGTGGAATTATTAAATACTGAACAAAATACTGAATGAGGATGCAGAATTATTAAATACTGAACAAAAATGAACAAAAAATGAATGAATTATTAAATACTGAACATAAATACTGAATAAATATTAAATTAAAACTGAATGAAAAAATACTGAATGAGTGTGGAATTATTAAATACTGAACAAAAATACTGAATGAGGATGCAGAATTATTAAATACTGAACATAAATACTGAATGAGTGCGGAATTATTAAATACTGAACAAAAATACTGAATGAGTGTGGAATTATTAAATACTGAACAAAAATACTGAATGAGGATGCAGAATTATTAAATACTGAACATAAATACTGAATGAGTGTTGAATTATTAAATACTGAACAAAATAACTGAATGAGGATGCAGAATTATTAAATACTGAACATAAATACTGAATGAGTGTGGAATTATTAAATACTGAACAAAAATACTGAATGAGGATGCAGAATTATTAAATACTGAACATAAATACTGAATGAGTGTGGAATTATTAAATACTGAACAAAAATACTGAATGAGAATGCAGAATTATTAAATACTGAACAAAAATACTGAATGAGGATGCAGAATTATTAAATACTGAACAAAAATACTGAATGAAGTGTGGAATTATTAAATACTGAACAAAATACTGAATGAATGAGGATGCAGAATTATTAAATACTGAACATAAACTGAACTGAATGAAGATGTGGAATTATTAAATACTGAACAAAAATACTGAATGAGGATGCAGAATTATTAAATACTGAAAATAAATCCTGAATGAGTGCGGAATTATTAAATACTGAACAGGAAAATTAAATACTGAATAAGTGAATGGAATTATTAAATACTGAATGAGGATGCAGAATTATTAAAACTGAAAAAATACTGAATGAGGATGCAGAATTATTAAATACTGAACATAAATACTGAATGAGTGTGGAATTATTAAATACTGAACAAAATAACTGAATCAGGATGCAGAATTATTAAATACTGAACATAAATACTGAATGAAGATGTGGAATTATTAAATACTGAACAAATATACTGAATGAGGATGCAGAATTATTAAATACTGAACAAAAATACTGAATGAGGATGCAGAATTATTAAATACTGAACATAAATACTAAATGAGTTGGGAATTATTAAATACTGAACAAAATTACTGAATGAGGATGCAGAATTATTAAATACTGAACATAAATACTGAATGAGTGTGGAATTATTAAATACTGAACAAAAATACTGAATGAGGATGTGGAATTATTAAATACTGAACATCTTAAATATCTTGGTGTATGTATCAGTTATAACAAATTTAATAAAGCAGCGGGAGTGGGGCAAGGAAACTGAACAAGGAATAAACTAAAGTAGGGGATAGTTTTCCCCAATACCTCAGGATGCCACAAAACCAAAATATTAACCTTAGAAGTCGCTTCAGGTTATTAAATAACCTGGTCAAATCTAGACGTTCATATCGACGACATGCATGGTGTCTAACTCATTCAGATATGTCTAAACTATTAACTATGTACACCCGTTTCCCTAGAAAAATGAATTCAATTGAATAAATCCTATAAGTCTTGTAGAAGAAAATCCTTCATCAGATTTTATAGACTGACGCTACAGAATCACAAAGAACTTTACCAAGTAACAAAAACCATGTCACTTGAAGATTTCCAACAGCAGCAACAACTATAGTGGGTAGCATGTGTAACTAGAAGAGAAAATAATGATATAATCAAGATGTTGACTTTCCACACAACCTGAAACAAAAGGTTAGAAAGGAAACTGCCCTCAATACGAGAAAGAGCAATGACTGGATGGACTTAAGAAATCTATTTTCCTGAAAAGCATTTTTAATGGAAATCGTTTATAAAATTTAATCAGCTTTTTGTTCAATGCTGAATGTTTTGTGTATGGAAACGATTCATTTTACAATTGCGATTACAAAGGAAGGCTTTTTATTTGAAGTATTTAGATAACGTTATTTTTTAATTGTATCATCTGTCACCCTCTAATTACAAGTAAAAATTTCTTTACTCTGAATCTTGTGTTGAGGCATGAAACAGATAGTTACCAAGCAAAGTTGATTTCTAGGTTGATAATAAAAATGCAATATCTCCGATTCTGAGCAATCTATCCCAATAAATATGACAAAATTCAATATCTATCTATAAATCCCCAATAAATATAACAAAATTTAATATCTATCTCTCTATCTATCTCAGTCTGTTCATATCTATATTAGTTTGTTCATATCTATCTATCTATCTATCTATCTATCTATCTATCTATCTATCTATCTCAGTTTGTTCATATCTATCTATCTATCTATCTATCTATCTATCTATCTATCTCAACAGAATATTGATAACAACCAGATATTTTAGATATTATCGGTAAAGAGTTAAGATCAGATGAAAAAAAAAGGAAACTGCGATAAAATAAAAATATAATATTAATCATGGACTAACGTATTGATTGTTTTAGTCCAATAAACCAAGCGGAAGTCGAATGATTATGTTGAAAAAACTTTCGAAAGCAATTCTTAAAAAAATATTGGAAGGAAAATCAAATTGTGTAACGAAAAATAAATGACATAAAAAACTAAAAAAACTAATGTTAATAATGTATATATATATATATATATATATATATATATATATATATATATATATATATATATATATATATATATATGGAAATACAAGACATTTGGGAGCGCCAGTTATTCCCTGTGTTAATTTTGTTTTGTTTTTTCCCTATTTTCTTTTATGATGTATGTGTTTGGGATAATGTATTTATAAAATAATAGAAATCGTATAAGTTATGAACTCATCAATGAAAGGAAAAAAAGGATCTCTTTTTTCTTCCCTCTCTGTATATTTATTGTGGGCATACAAATCAACATTGCATAGTGACTGAAAGTTTCATGCATTACGTGATGATCAGAACAAAGTAAGCATAAAGAGATATAACTATTGTGATCATTGAAATAAACACTGCATGTTGCCTGGGAGTTTCACACCTTAATTGATCATTGAATCACGCCTTCAAACAATCAACGGATGATTCAAGCGTGAAAGATATATTACAATTTATTTTATATTAGCATATAATGTCTATTACCATAATATATATATATATATATTATATATGTTACCATATAATACATATGTTAGCGCATATAATATGTTGCCATATAATATTTGATGCTATATATTATACGGGGTGTCTATAAAGTTCGTGTACACGTTAAAACATTTAAAACTTTATTTGTATTTGCGATAGAAATAATCTGTAAAAAATGTTATAAAGTTTAATGTACCTAGTTTTAAGTATAGCTAAAATAACTAATGTGATTTCAGGCATTACTGTAAATCAGTTGGCAAATGTTTTCCGTGAACTGCAAAATCGTATTACCCTTTGTATTGCTAATGATGGAGGACATGTGGAAAGTTAAATAAAGTTTCAATAAAACCTTAAAAAATATAGATTTACTTCTTTCTAATACTTTTTACAAATTATTTCTATCGCAAATACAAATAAAGTTATAAATTCTTTAAAGTGCACACGAACTTTATGGACATCCTGCATATTACCATATGTTATATATGCTACCATATAATATATATTACCATATATTTTTTGTTTATTTCTTTTTAATTGAAGTAAATTTAGTCTACCTCCTTTCTGTAAATTTTGTTTTGAATATTAGTTTTTTGAATTTCTTTTTTGGCTCATTCAAGTATTGGACGTTATCTTTATTTCTGACTCACAGTCATGGAGGGTATCGACTTCTATGCGAAGTAAATTGTCATATTAGCACTGCCCCCTCCCCCTCGGTCTAGGGATTTTAAATTCGGACGCATTATATGGCTAACATGGGAAAAAAATGTCACTTAATTTTCATCTACGAAGCCACGGAAATAAAGTATATCGCCGCCAGTGTTATTTGTCTATATCTCTTTGAATTTCATTATTAATCACTTTATGTACCCATTCGTTCTTTCTTTTTCTTTTTTTTGTTGGTACTAATTCTTTTTTTAATTTTTTTTTCTTTTTGTCTTTTTTTAACCCCAGAACACTACCCATCAGTTAAAGTTACACCACTATATAACTATGGGTATATTATACCCGATTTTGAACATATCAAAAAAATATTAAATATAAATCTTTATTTGAAATATTTTACATGCAGGCACTTCAAACTTTGTACTTTGAGTTAACATTAATAGGAACTGAAAAACATTATTTATTTAAGAAAATCAGGTACTGAAAATTGTAATTAAAAATAGGAAAATTTGCGCTGGGTACTATATACCCATGGTTAGTGTTCTTGGGTTATTTGAAATGAATTTAGTCTACCCGCTTTTTTGAAAACTTTGAATATTAGTTCTTTGAATCTTTTTTTTTTTTTTGGTTTATTCAAGTATTGGACATTATCTTTATTCCTGGCTCACAGACGTGGGCTGTTCGTCTTCAACAAGAAATGCATGTTGGTACTTCAACTAAGTTGAAACTGCATATTTCAGTTTTAACGCACGTTGTTCATGAACTTCTTGTATGTTGCTTGTCTGTCACTTTGTTTTTGTTGCTTGTTTCTTTTTGTGTGTGTGTAATAAGAGTAGATAGGCTTCCCTATCGCCCAGTCAGTACTCCACCCGCTTCTCTTAAACAGGCTCATCTCTTGTTTCTTGTTTAGGAAGGGGTTTCCGGATCCTTTCCGGTGTAGTACCGTTGACAGACACTCGCCTTGGTGTTTGGGAAGCTTGCATATTGGAGGTGGTCCTTTTTACAAATACTCAGCAACTTGAGTGTACACGTTTTGTGCAGGGCAGGGTTAGGCAAAACGCCGCATTATCTGCTTCCTAGCACCCAGATTTGATACTCAGCAACTTCTAAGTATTCCCAAACCTAAAACCAGCGTTGCAAACAGAGCGGACAAGATTAAGGAGAAGAAAATGAATTTGTTGATCACGATTACGAAAGATGGGTATTTTGAAGTGAACTAAGGCGCCATTGGCTGAGGTATTTAAAGTTTTCTTTAATAATAAACATCCGGGGATCGTCCGGACATACCATGTTCCTCAATCTGGTCATACCTCTTTCAGTGGGTTTCTATCTGTCTCTCTCCCACGCTCCCTTTACTCTCTATATATTTAATTTTGACATATGCATGCAGGGCGTTATTAAAAAAAACAAAACAAGAAACACGTTGCATCAACCAGGTCTGTCAGTTGGTCAGCCTGCAATTCAGATTTGGCTTGCTGCAACTACGGTATTTTATCGAAAATAAAAATCCCCGTTGAAACATCGTGGACGAGATTAAAGAGAACGTAGTAGGGCAGCAAAATGCAATCGCAAAATAGAACTCTGCAGATTAAAACGGAACAGGGTAGATAAATTCTCATTAATATTAAATAATTATACTTTCTGGGGAGATTTCGTTTGTATGATTATCTATCTATCTATCTATTATCTATGATTATCTATCTATCTATCTATCTATCTATCTCGGTCTGTTCGTATCATTTTATTTCAGTTTGTTCATATGTATGTATGCATGCATGTATATATATATATATATATATATATATATATATATATATATATATATACAGTGTAACCCGGATATAAGAGAGTTGTCGGGACCGAGAAGAAGTCTCTTATATCCGGGTTTCTCTTATATCCGAGTTTGGTCTATTTTATATACATTAACACAGGCTCTAATTTGGGACCAGAGAAAATCTCTCTTATATCCGGGTTTCTCTTATATCCGTGTCTCTTATATCCGGGTCTCTTATATCCGGTTTACTATATATATATATATATATATATATATATATATATATATATATATATATATATATAAGTCTATCTATCTATCTATCTATCTATCTATCTCGGTCTGTTTGTATCTTTTTAGTTCAGGTTATTCATATATATATATATATATATATTTATATATATATATATATATATATATATATATATATATATATATATATATATATATATGTCATCTGTCTATCTATCTATCTATCTCAGTTTGTTCTCATCTATTTATCTTTGTTCATATGTATGTAAATATTTAAGTATATATTGAGAAAATAGTATGACAAACTGGAAAAATGTTTTTTGTGGCGGGTCTCATCCGTTAGGACTCTATCAGACAGTATGTATGTATGTATGTATGAATCTATCTATCTATCTATCTATCTATCTATCTATCTATCTATCTATCACTGTCTGTTCAATATCTATCAAATTTTGTTCATATGTATGCATGTATATATCTATCACATTTTTCCCGTCTAAGTTTGATTGTACTTATGTACGTATCTATGTATATATCTATCTAAATTAATAAATAAACTGAATTATAAAAGAAATTATAAAAGAAAGGATGGGTCGTGTTTCGCCAAAGTTATACAGAAGCCATAGGAAATGTATCGACATTTTAATAATAAAAACTTGGAAATTTCCCAATGGAAAAAATGTATATTCCAATTGAAAGGCAATGAAGAACCATAAATATTCAAGTAAGAAAACCTAACGAAAAAAAAATTGATTGTATGTTTGGGTAGAACAGGAGAAATTAATGAAATGGTTAAGAACCGAAAATGGAGAAAAAAGAATGAATGAGGCATCTTTATAAAAAATGTAGACATTTTATCAGCTCATAATTGTGCAGCCTCTTTTCAGTTTTAGGTGGTGAATCGCCCTCTGGAAGAAATCGTAACAGACATGCGTACAAAGAGCAATTAACACATCATTGGCAAACAGAGGGTCTATGCATATTTGGGGATGTTGAGGTGTTCAAAGTAGGGAAAAATGATCCTATAAAAAGATGTGTTGATATGTTTTTTTTCTTCCGAAAGAAAACTGTTAACACTTTTTGATATGTGGCAAGAAGAATTTTCATCTTTGTAACTAGTTAAATAAATTGGTCCACTCGTAAAATACGGGGAAACAGTTTTTGCTGATTTACATTCCTTAGACCATCCTCAAGACAGGAAAATTGTCATAATCGAAAAATAGTGATTTTTATCGATTTTATTATAAAGGGTTCTTGTTCATTATATCAATACAGTGTAAAATTGATACCTGATTCTTTTTAGAAGATATTGGAACTAGCTGTTTTTTCCACCGCAGAAGTTTTTAATTAACATTTTATATATATATATATATATTAAAAGTTTAAAAATGTAAATATACACATCATCATGCGGCCTCAGTCGAGATTGAACTCACCAATACTTTGATTGATGTAGTTCATAATCTTGTCAAATAGCTGAATTCTTGATGCTTCGCTAGGGCTATCAAGGGTGTTTTTATCGTGACACCAACACTAAATGGATTGCCAACCAAGGCTCAGAGAGACTCCATTCACCCCTCCTCTAAGAGCAGGTTTGAATTCAGAGTTTTCCTTCTCCTAGACCAGTTGCCATCCAAGGCTATAGAACCCAGTCTGCCCTGCTATTTACCCATAGCTGGAGGGAGAAGAAAGAGGATTCACACCTTTCCCAAGGGTGTTAGCACGTAAGAATGTAATGGATTGAATGTAATGGATTCGACTCTCCGAATTCGAACAAGCGGCTCTCCGATTCCTCAATCCAAGCCACTATCCATTACTGCACCGTGCCTCCTCACGCACGCACACACACACACACACACACACACACACACACACACACACACACACACACACACATATATATATTTTAAACTTTTAAAACGTTAATTAAAAACTTCTGCGCGGGAGGGTTGAAAGCACAAACCTGGATGATAATAATTATTTATCTTAAATAAAGAATAAAGTTGTACTGGTAAATCAACAGTTACTCCCTCTTAAGATCTAGGAGGTCTAAAAAAAAGCACCCTGTAATAACTGTCAGTAGAGGAGTAGTCAGAGTAAAGTGCAATAAAACTTTGGTATAAGTTTATTCATTGCTTCTGTTTTTACTACAAAAGTTATATGTATTTTTATTAATTTATATAAAATTTTGTTCTTTAATTAAAAATTATGTCTTTATTTAAAAGAATTTATTTGTTTCTAAAAAGTTTTATTAAAAAATCAAAGCTTCTTCTAAAGTCTACTTCAACTCTATACTTCTAACCACTCAACCTAAGTTCTGAAATTTTATTTACTATCTGTTTTTATTTTTTCCTTCAATAGGTTTGCCTATCACCCGGTTCACACTCTTCCCCAGTCTTTTGAACAGGAGGTTTATACCTTGTTTCCTGTTCAGGATTGGGTTTCCGGTTCCTTCTAAAGTCTTCTCATTCTTTTTCACTCCCAGTGGCCCCCTTGCGTCTTAGTGTCATTATCGCCTTGCTTGGTGTGAATTGATAAAAAAAAAAAATGTTGATTCCAGTTTTTTTTAACTTGATGCTTAACTTTTTACTTGGTCTACACAAGCGTTTTATTTTTATTTTTTACTTTTTATAACCTTCCTATTTTGTTTATAGTTGCACCAAATTTTAGACAGAACTGACTGGAAATAACCATACTCGAATTTGGGTTTTATTCTTGAAGAAGTTTTATGATCCATTCAAGCGAGGGCTCTCTCGCTGGATTCATATCTTTTTTCAATACAGCGAGTCTCTTGGCGTCATTTTTCTTTCTTTCAATTCACAACTCACTTGTTGGATCCGTTATCTGCTGTCATGTCTATTCGTTATGTAAAAGAATTTATTTCATTTTAAAAAATCTTTTTTCCGTTCGTAGAAAAACCGTAAAAAATCAGGGATCAATTTTACACTTTATTTATATTATATATATATATATATATATATATATATATAAGATTACTAGATGTAAAATGAATTATTCTTTCAATGTTCTTTCTATGAATATTTTCCAATCGACTATTTCATAGAAAATACCCAAAACTCCAACAAACATCAAATTAAATTCTTCGTAGATTTTTTAGACATTTAGATTTATATCAAACTTTAACCCCCAAATATACCCTTTAAAGTAATGCGAAATAACAGCGTCTAAGAATTTGAGTGAAACATTCTCTCATGATCATGATTTATTTTATTGTATCTTCTTCCTTTTTTGTCGGTTTTCTTCTTCACCCCTTACCCATTCATATCTAGAGATAACATACGTTAAGTTAAGCGATGTCTGGCCCACACAAAGTGGGGTTAAGGATAAAGAATTGAAATGGTACATCTAACTCACTCATGTCTTTCTCCCGCTCACTTCCTCACTTCGTTAATTTACATATGCTTAATACGACCCGTCAAAAATGTGTAAATTTCTTTTTCATTTTTCATTTCAACCTTTGGAAGTAAAGTCTGATGATCCAGAGCCCTTTAAAAGGGCTGTGGGGGAAATAATTTATTACATGGAACCTTAAAGTGGTCTGTTTTTATTCAAATATATTTGCTCTGAATTTACATTGAGCTCTCTGGATATCATCCTCCTTGGGTCTACCCATACGGATTACCTAGTTTTGCATAAACTATATATATATATATATATATATATATATATATATATATATATATATATATATTCTAGATCGATAAAAAAAATATTTTTCGATTCTGACAAGTGTCACAGTGTAAACAAACATTAAAGAATACTAACTTGAAAAATATTTTCTACTGACTGTATTATAGGTGTTCAAAATTTCAATGTACATTGACTATTAAGGTAATGATTGTATCTTCATTGGCTCTTTATTTCACATTCAAATCGATATAATAAA